GGGGGGCGGGCTGCCGCTCAGGATGGCTCCGTAGGTCTCGTTCTGCAGGATGCTGGGCGCGAAACTCCTCTGCTTGTCCTTGGCCAGGCTGGCAGCGTCTCTGGCCAAGGACGTGGCGTTGGACCCCAGCTGGTAGAAGCTGACCGGCCGGTCTTCTCGCCGACTGGGGCTGGGCTGCAGAGGATGGTGGGCCCCGTGTGAAACGCAGGGACACCGACCTGTCGGTCCCGGCTTTCAGTTTATTGGTGGCAACCTCGTGTACACTTGTACTCGGGCGCGGTGCACTCGACTCTCCACCGTTACACAAGAGCCGCGAGGATTAAAACTCACTCTCACCACGTCTCATATTTAAGAAAAATATGTTTTTGTTGATTTGAGAGAGAGAGAGAAACATCGATCAGCTGCCTCCTGCACAACCCCTACTGGGGACTGAGCCTGAAACGTGGGCGTGAGCCCTGACCAGGAATCAACCTGTGACCTCCAGGTTCCTGGGGCGACACTCAACCACGGAGAACACAGGCCGGGCCATAAGCCAGTCCTTTAAATACCTGCTTCACCGTGGCCAAGCCAACCTCTCAGGCTTCAGCACCCCATCTGATTAAGGAAAGCGCTGGACCCAATGAGCGCTGAGGGTCACTCAATGATTTCAGTCACGGTTTCAAAGCTCGACTAGGTGAACACGGTCACTGACCGGGGGAAACCTGGCTCTTAGTCACATATTCCACAGCGTGCGACTTCCTCTAACGCCCCTGGGATCAAAGTCCTCCTCTGTCTTTCCTCCCAGTGAAAGTGTGAGCAGCTGCCTGGGAGGGTATCGTTAACGGTCCTTTAACTGAACGTGTGTAGGAGCCGGGAGATAGGAGGGGTAGGAGCAAACCCTGCTGAGATCAGCGGAAGCCAAAGGTAAAGCCTGGTTTCTTTCCTACACACCGGCTTTCTGCCCTGAATGCAGGCTGGGAGCCCCGCTGCTCTGAATGGAGCTTATTATAGGACTCGTAATGTTTTACGGGCCGGCACAGACCTGCAATTTCTCATCCATGTCGTCATCGCTCTCATCCAGGTCTTCATGGAGCAACCGCCATTCATACTCCACGTGAACGTGGGAGTTGAACCTTCCAGATAAGGCCTGGGTCAGCTGAGGAGAACACAGGACTGTGGGTGATGCCGCTCAGGCTCTCAGCCCGGGAAACAGCCCGGGAAACACTCGGCCAGGGAAACACTCAGCCCTGGGAAACACTCAGCCTGGGAACACTCAGCCCCGGGAAACAGCCCGGGAAGGATTCAGCCCGGGAAGGACTCAGCCCGGGAAGGACTCAGCCCCGGGAAACACTCAGCCCGGGAAGGACTAGGCCCTGGGAGGGACTCAGCCTAAAGGCTCTCAGCCCAGGAAACTGCCTGGGAAACACTCAGCCCAGGAAACACTCAGCCCAGGAAGCACTCAGCCCGGGAAGGATTCAACCTGAAGGCTCTCAGTCAGGGAAGCACTCAGCCCGGGAAGGACTCAGCCCCGGGAAGTGAGCGGCCACCCAGACATCCAAGAGGAGGGAGAGCACTGCGGGAAGGCAGGGAGCCCGCCCTCCAGCACAGGCCCAGCTGACACAACCTCTGTAGGGCTCCCCAAATGCCTGGTTTTCCAAGTTGTCCCACCTAGGCCACTGGGATCTGCCCAGGACCCTACCTTGGGGCCCAGGGAACACCCGCTGCAGGAAGAGGGACCTCGCCCATCCACGCCCACGACGGGCAGGGACTCACCAGCTCCTCACAGTGCTCATGCCTGAGGCGCTTGGCGATGTCCAGCGGCGTCTCCCCTGACTCGTTAGCTAAAAGGCAGGGCGACAAAAACAAGTGAAGCCTTGATATCGAGACAAACGAGATACAGAGAAGCGGCCCTAAATTAAACCGAACACGACTGATGAAATCCACAGCGAGCTTGCTCCAGCCGGGGCTGAGTTTGTCTTACGATCAATCGTACAGCACTGCCGCCGCGTGCGGTCGGTGAGGTTCTACGAGGTTTACGCTAATCGTGAAAATCGAACCACGGTAGTGGCCGCCAGTGAACGAAAATCAGTGTGCAAACCCTAAGTCACATAAAGCAGGTCACCGCAATTCTCTCGCCAGAAGCTCTGCCCATGGGGTTGCGGGCGTCGGGCTATAGTAAACGTCACCCCTCCCTTTAACTGCCCACAAAGCTGAAATTGTGGACTTTCTTCTAAAGAAGCCTCGGTCCATGAGGCTTGACTATTAATTTTTAAAAAAGAAACCTGGCTCGAGCAGGGGTGTGTCTTCCCGCTGGTCTCCTGGGCCCTTTCCAATGGGCCTCAGAAGCCCTTCCTAATGCCCCCTCCCAGCTGGGCGCCGCAGGGCCAGCCTGTGCCTGGCTGGACGGCAGGGTCCCCGGCAGCGGGAGGGGTGGAGGCCCAGCGGGCACGGGTCGCTCCTGGAGGACACTGGGTGCCCCTGCCCTCCCGGAGCCAGCAGGGCTGGGGCTGATCCGAGGTGGGGGCTGTGAACAGGAGGGCGCGATGCCCCAAAGCCCGTCCAAGTTCCCCACGGCCTCCGGGGCAGCTGCAGGGCCCCTCATCTGCCCGCATCACCCATACGGTGCCGGCCAACGAGAGGGAGCCTAGGACGGGGGGAGGCTGCCCGTGAACCCCGAGCCCTCGGCAGCCCCGCAGGACGTGCCAAGGGGGGCCAGGCCGCTCCTCCTCAGGGGGCACCGTGCACGGGCCTCGGCCCGAGGGGGGCACAGCGTTCGTCTGACCGCGCCCCGCGCCACCACGGGGACGCGGGCGGGGGCGGGGCCGGGCCGCTCACCGATCTCGATGGCGGCCTTCCCACGCAGCAGCAGCTTGAGGCACTCGGCGTTGTCGGTCAGGCAGCAGTAATGCAGGGCGGTGCTGCCCTTCCCCGTCTGCTTGTCCAGGTTCCCGCTGGCCGGCGAGGGGGGAGAGGACAGCGAGTCACAGGACGAGGCCCAGGCTGCCCGGGCTGCCCAGGCAGGGGGCTGACGTGAGCAGGAGGGCGGCGAGGCCACCAGCACCCCTCGGGGTCACTCCGTCCTCCTGCACGGCGGGTGGGCCGGCGCCGGCCCCGCTGCGTGGATGGCGTGGGGCGCCCCTGACTGAGGCCGCCCGGGAACTAACCGCGACGGCAGAGCAGGCCAAGGAGGCAGCCGGGCAACTGTGCGCACCTGGGCAGGGGCCGAGGGGGCACCGCCTGCCCGTGGCCCTGGACCACCGCGTCCCTGCCACCTCCCCCCTGCACCCCNACTGTGGACTTTCTTCTAAAGAAGCCTCGGTCCACGAGGCTTGACTATTAATTTTTAAAAAAGAAACCTGGCTCGAGCAGGGGTGTGTCTTCCCGCTGGTCTCCTGGGCCCTTTCCAATGGGCCTCAGAAGCCCTTCCTAATGCCCCCTCCCAGCTGGGCGCCGCAGGGCCAGCCTGTGCCTGGCTGGACGGCAGGGTCCCCGGCAGCGGGAGGGGTGGAGGCCCAGCGGGCACGGGTCGCTCCTGGAGGACACTGGGTGCCCCTGCCCTCCCGGAGCCAGCAGGGCTGGGGCTGATCCGAGGTGGGGGCTGTGAACAGGAGGGCGCGATGCCCCAAAGCCCGTCCAAGTTCCCCACGGCCTCCGGGGCAGCTGCAGGGCCCCTCATCTGCCCGCATCACCCATACGGTGCCGGCCAACGAGAGGGAGCCTAGGACGGGGGGAGGCTGCCCGTGAACCCCGAGCCCTCGGCAGCCCCGCAGGACGTGCCAAGGGGGGCCAGGCCGCTCCTCCTCAGGGGGCACCGTGCACGGGCCTCGGCCCGAGGGGGGCACAGCGTTCGTCTGACCGCGCCCCGCGCCACCACGGGGACGCGGGCGGGGGCGGGGCCGGGCCGCTCACCGATCTCGATGGCGGCCTTCCCACGCAGCAGCAGCTTGAGGCACTCGGCGTTGTCGGTCAGGCAGCAGTAATGCAGGGCGGTGCTGCCCTTCCCCGTCTGCTTGTCCAGGTTCCCGCTGGCCGGCGAGGGGGGAGAGGACAGCGAGTCACAGGACGAGGCCCAGGCTGCCCGGGCTGCCCAGGCAGGGGGCTGACGTGAGCAGGAGGGCGGCGAGGCCACCAGCACCCCTCGGGGTCACTCCGTCCTCCTGCACGGCGGGTGGGCCGGCGCCGGCCCCGCTGCGTGGATGGCGTGGGGCGCCCCTGACTGAGGCCGCCCGGGAACTAACCGCGACGGCAGAGCAGGCCAAGGAGGCAGCCGGGCAACTGTGCGCACCTGGGCAGGGGCCGAGGGGGCACCGCCTGCCCGTGGCCCTGGACCACCGCGTCCCTGCCACCTCCCCCCTGCACCCC